GACACCCACTATGTCTGTAAGTCGGTTAACCAAACTATCTATTTCAAGACACCAATGACAGGGCAGTGATTTGGTACACTATAGTTCCATTTGACATTATCTAAAGTATATAATTATATGCCAAACATCATTACTTTTTCTTAGATATGAATCAATGATTGGTCAGTGGTCATTTTTATCATCATTGGTAGGTTTACATGTAGTTGAGCTCTGAATGTACATGTAAGAGTTGTTACATTCGCTCTATTGGAACAGGCCTATTGGCTCCTTGTGGAAACTTTTTGACGGCCCCAGTAAATTTTACTGGTCAACTTTTAACTGCTGAAAGGTCGCGTGTCAGTCCCTGTGAACACCTGTACAATGTAAAGGAACATTTTAGTGAGAAAATAATACTAGAATCAGTATGTTCGACACAACACATTGTTAAAAATACGTCCCCTCCTGTCAAGTAGTTTTGGCGCCGCCATTGCAGACTAAATATAGGTAAACGTACAAATTTCAGAGCATAGGCGATGTGAAGACGAAACGAAATTTTGGTAACCAGGGGAAAAAAATTGGAATATTTGAAAAAATAAGAATTTTCAGTCATTTATTGCTTTGCCTATCTTTTAAAGACACTTTCCCTGCATACAAACTGTGTGATTTGATGATATAATAATTGGACTAAAAACATATTCAAACTAATTAATCTATCAAATAATTTAATTTGTCCCTTTTGATATTTGCGCATTTCAGACCATAACTTTCTGTATTATTGCCCCTGATTGTACAAAAAATCGCATTTGTTTTTAGCTTGTTCTCTATCTATCTCTTGCAAAATGTGAGTGTATCCTGCCTGGCAGCTGCTGGTTGATAATGTATTTTTCATTACTTACTGTCCATTTACCATACATATTAAGGCTTAAGTAAATTCTTGAATTATTTTCTGTCAAATTTTTTTTCCGCCATTTAATTGCAGAGTCTTTTACTCTTTTGTACGTTTCACACCCCTCAATGTTCGCAAAACCACCTAACCATTTGATCAAGAAATAACAACCGTTCTCTCAGTCAAGCTAGCATACATGTACAATAAGCCGCCACACAGCGATCAGGTTGCCAGTATGTGATACCCTGACATTTTTGCCCAGTGCTTGCCCCATGGGTGTTTTTCAGGTATTCAAGTATTTTTCTATTAAGATTGGTTGTCTTTACTTTCCATATATACCAAATTCACCATACTTTTATTGGAAATAACCACCCGATAAATACTTTCATGACAATGTATCTTTAAAACTAAAACAGAATGAAACAAACATTAAATAACTAGATAATAATGAGGGTTAAAATAAAACTAGAAAGGACAATGAGAGAAGCAAGGTGTATGTTTTACATATGTTAATTTATTATCACTAATATCAGTCACCAAGTCCCACAATAAATACAGAATATAAAAGTTAATTGTTTTAACCCTCATTGTATTTGTTTCTTTCAATGTTTGTTTTATTCTGTTTTAGTTTTAAAAGGTACATGTAGGCAAAGCAATAAATGACTGAAGATTCTAATTTTTTCAAAAATGTTCTTTAATTTGTGTGTTGACCTATATATATAGACTGCAATGGCAGCTCCCAAGGTACTTGACAGGAATTTCAAATTTGAGTCGTGACAAAGTTGTTCTTTGTGTATATATGGTGATTATTATTAAATATAATATAACTGTTAATGAATATATCGTCAAGTGAATGGCACCATTCGTATTTCTGTGCTTATAGTATAGAGAATAGTTTGGGATATCAGTTGGTTAAGTATTGGCCGGGTTATGAAAACCCAGTAAGTTTATGGGGTTATCAAAATTACTGTTAAATCTGCGCTAATTCCCAAAGTGTATATTGTATATTTATTTGTGGAAGGATCCTATTCATGGTTAGTGTTTAAAAAAAGAGTGATTTTAGCTATTTTCCTCTGTGAGTCGATTTTCAAAGCTAATTTTACAAAAAACCGACAGAAATGTTGCTTTTAATAATGTTTGTTTCAACAATATCCATTGATACATTATACATGTGATAAGTAATAACTTCTAAAATAGTGTAGTAAAATTTCTACACTATATCAATTTTTTTAGCACACGTGTCATATCAATTTTTGGCACTTACTTACAGCACTCCATACACAGTATACAGTACTTGATCTGCAAAATTTGATAGTAAATTCTTAATCTATAAAAGAGTCTCTTACAAACCCCATAATTTCAAGAATATTTTCTAACTAGAAGATATAAAATGAGTACACCAAAATTGAGTCATAGCATAGTAGTTTCATGGACCTTATTTAATAAGTTGGTTTCAAAACTTGTGAAAGGGTACCCCTATTCAAAAGGCCATATCTCAGTCAATATTAATGTTAGAGTCATATAACTTGGCAGGTTTACATAAATTTGTATGTAGCCTACTATAACATATTTTTTTTCCCCGCCTTTCGAAGAAAGCAGGGGACTATTAAAATGGGTTCGTCCGTACATGTATGTCTCTCTGTCCGTCCGTCTGTCTGTCTGTCTGTCTGTCCATCACACTTTTTGGGACACAATAACTCTCTTTCTAATTGAGCTAGAATGTTCAAACTTGGTGTAGGTGTTTATTAGGTCAATGTCTTGATGGAGTTCAAAGATGAGCATTTTCTGCTTAGGGTAAGCAGAGATAAGCAATTTGATTGGTTGATGCTTTGGGACATGATAACTTTAGTTCTAATTAAGTGAGTGTGGTGAAGCTTGGTAAATAGTTTCATTACATCAATACATGTACCTTGACTAAGTTCGATCATGAGCATTTTCTGCTCAGGGTAAGCAGAGCGATAAGCAATTTGATTGGCCAGGACTTTGGAACACAATAACTCTCCTTCTAATTGAGCTAGAATGTTCAAACTTGATGTAGGGATTTATTAGGTCTATGTCTTGATGTAGTTCGAAGATGAGCATTTTCTGCTTAAAATAAGCAGAGATAAGCAATTTGATTGGTTGATGCTTTGGGACACGATAACTTTAGTTCTAATTCAGTGAGAGTGAGGACACTTGGTGTATAGTTTTATCACATCAATACCTTGACTAAGTTCCTTAATAAGCATTTTCTGCTTACGGTAAGCAGAGCAATAAGCAATTTGATTGGTCGAGATTTTGAAACACGATAACTCTCCTTTTAATTGAGGTAGAAGGTTCAGTCTTGGTGTAGGCCTTCATTAGGTGAATGCCTTAATGGAGTTCAATGATAAACATTGTCTGCTTACGGTAAGCAATCTGATTGGTTGATGCTTTGGGGCACGATAACTTTGGTTTTAATTAAGTAAGAGTGATGAAACTCTTGAGTATAGATTCATTATATCATTACCTGGACTAAGTTTGATGATGAGAATTTTCTGCTTGGGCTGAAGCAATTTGATTGGTCAAGACTTTGGAACATAATAACTCTGCTTTTAATTGAGGTAGAATGTTTAAACGTGATGTAGATGTTCATTAGGTGAATGTCTTGACTGAGTTCAATGATTAACATTTCTAGCTAATGCTAAGTAGAGCTAAGCAATTTCATTGGTCGATGCTTTGGGACAAGATAACTTTGATTCTACATGTATCTGATAAAGAGTGATGAAACTTAGTGTATAGGTGATAATCTGTTTGATTGCTTGATACTTTTTAAAAAAATAAATGTGCGATTAATGAATATGTGTCATCTATTTATTTTGGGATTTCGGCGGGGGACATCAGCCTCACTGAGCTTGTTTCATAATATTCTGAGGGGGTCTCTTTACAAGCACTGGTCCACTTGACATGGAATGACCCAATGTCATGTTATTGTTGTAGCAACGTCTTGATTATCCATTTTATAGTTAAAACTCTTAAATGGCCCTGCTGGTCTAATTTACCTAATATTGGAGCCATCTGATGATCAGAGGGTTGATTATTGGCTTGTCCTATTAATAAATATTTAAATGGTAATTTATTTATCTAACAATAGGCAGATTTTGCTCTTGGCCTATTCCATTTATACTCAAATGGGTTGATTGTGTCCATGAGACTACTTGATAGCCAAAATTACCAATCTCAGAAATTGACCATAGCCGAAATACGGCAAGCAGGTGTTTTGGGGTACTTTTTGTTCATTTTTTCGTCAATTTTAGGCAATGTTTAGTGTAATTTTTCATGTGGATAATGTGTTCTTATGAAGCAAATGATAATTTAATATATTAGGATAGGTGGTTATGTTTGAAAAAATGGAGAAAGAAAAATGTACCTTTCCACTTGTCGGTTATTTCTGAAGTGTATAAATATAACCTTATAAACTAACCAAACTTTATTCGACGATATCTCCATTGCCGCGAGGTCCCACGGCATGAATTCTTTTTGTGCCATCGATTGATTTTTATATCCACTTCCTCAACTAGCTGCCATCGGTTTATTTTTTATATCCACTTCCTCAACTAGCTGCCATCGGGTTATTTTTGCGCGCACTGATAACAAAATATCTTTACGTTATTTTTGCACAGTAAAAGGAAAATTGGCAACTAAGTTGTACACAGTTACACGGAAACAGGTGAAATAGTTTTTCTGCTCTTAATTATATTGAAAAGTCATAAGATGCATATTTTTGAATTGATTGATAAAGTCAAATTTACCAAAAATTACAGTATGTGTCAAAACCTGAAGGTCATGTCTTTTTAGAAAAAATATTACTGAACAGGTTTTGGATTACCGCTTCACCAAACTTAGTCAGATCTTAAATGTAGTTGACCAGTTCCCTTTTTTGGGGGGAAAAAGTGTGTGTGTATGTATGTACATGTATATGGGAGATGGGCATGATATAAGAATAAGATATCTTGTTTGAGGAATTGGGATAGGGGAGATCTATTCTCGAAACCAAATTCACAGGTGATATGGTTTCAGAGATGAAGTGCATAGGTATGCACTTTTTGCTCTTTTCTATGATTTAAAATGATATACATGTATTCATGAAAGATGTATAATTTTCTACTTTTCTTAGATGTTTTTAAAGGGTTATGTTGTTATAATTTGATTGTCCAAAATGAGCTCTCGTGACCAGAGGTATAGACGTAGTAACAGTAGAAGCCATAGAAGCTCAAGCCGCACAAGAGGACGCTATGACAGAAACAGACATCAAAGTAGAAGCAGAAGTAGGAGCAGAAATAGACGGTCTAGATCTCGTAGTAGAAACAGGTAGGCTCCCAAAAGATACATATACACGTAAACAGCTGAACTGAATGTCCTACGGATAAGCCTAGTCAAAACAATTTTGAACTGATTGTTTTTTTTTATCTGCACACATTTTCATGTCGTCGCCCCAGTCTGTCCATCCACAATTTGTTTGTGGACCCTCTACAGGTCACAATTTTTATCCGATTTTGACAGAATTTTAAATATAGGTTTACGTCAGTGATGGGATTTTGCCCGTATTTTCCGGACTTGTCCGAATCTTTTTTCCAAACACCCAAAATTGTCCGACCGGGAATATGCCCAATCGGACATCAAGACATGGTGAATAATATTCAAAATTCCGAAATTATTATAGTTTACTGAGTGTATAACTACCACTCAACCAGATTATCGTCGATAATACGCTGAATTAATAAGGTAATTAAGTGATCAACGTATTTATCGTGTTATACGGTCTATAAACCTACCTTGATTAACTACTTAATCTGTCTTGATTGACTGACTTAATCCTTTGTCGGACGATTCATCAATCTAATCTTAAACAGAAGCCATTGTTTCCCCTTTGTCGAACTATTCATCAATCCATTATAATTTTAATCTCCGTGTTAACCTCGTGGTTTCTGCATTGTCGGACATTTTAATCGCATTGATGTGAGCCGACAATATGTATAAACCAGTCATAGAAGTCACATATTGTAAGAGTATATAGCGCCCAGATCAATAGACAGTCATTATAATTCATCTGCGATATCACTTCGGTGGAAGCGAGCGTTAAATAAAGCTATTTCACACACACATATCCGAAAAATATTAGACATTTCTAGCACGCGGTTACAGCACTCGGGAAACCTCGGCAGATTCCGTTACTCTCCATCTAGCTTCGGCTGTATGACGGTAAGTGATATGCAGAGTTTCCGATAAAGTGTACCGGTAAATTATCTTCCCGGCGGTCCATGGGACCGGTAAACAATGATACGGAAAATCATAAACGTCAACAAAATTAACTGCAACTTTATCTTTCCATTCATAGCTCATGTCAAAAATCTTGTGCTGACCGTGGGTGTCGAAAAGTGGTGCTATTTATAGTAACTTCGGTATGATGGTTTCTTCCGTCTTGAAGATCGCTGCTCAATGTCTGCATGATCTTCACAAAATGGCGCCAAAGTAGACGAATCTTTCGTCCTTTAACGGAGGTGGTGATACATGTATCAAACGCAAAAGAAATATCGTTATATCTTTGGTAGTTCCAGCAGAGAAAAAACGGGTTTACGTCGGCAAAATTTAATATACGTCTGTGCGTAATCGTTTATCTTAGCACCATAGTTTTTGTCTGTCACCTTTTTAGTTTTTATTCATTCGAATATGATAGACAAACGACACAATGATCACGTGACAACCACAATTGAAATTTCTTTAAAATCTTCTTTTTTTTTTGACTATGTCATAGCCTTTAATAATATCGACAACATTTATAAAACAAAGCTTCTGTCAGCATATAGTATAAAGTAAAAAATCATAACGTTAAACAGTATTTAAAACTAAAGCTAACTTCGCCGATTCATTGTCCTAATTCCAGCGATGTCACGTGTCATCGGTATTCCGAGATTTTATCCGAAAAATATGTTATTAATGACTGTTTCTCAGAATATTCGGTGTTCTATCAGTGGATTATATTCAATGAAGATTTAAATTGAACTAACAACTGGTCTGTGAAACCATCACATCTATGATCCAATTATTTTTTTGATATCTACCTGGAATTCATATGGAGCGTCAATCAAAGACGCGCGATTCTCGAGATTCACAATACAATCCATGACGAGATCCGCCTGGCTTATTTTCACAATGTGTTCAAATTCTCACAGCATGTTTCAATGAAGGGTTTATTTATTTGAATACATTTACAAGAATGATTAGCGGTAAAATTTTGTTTTCATCAGACTGGTAAAATTACGAGTGGACCAGTATTTTTTACCTCTACCGGTACGATATACCGGTAATTTTTTATAGCTAGTGGAAACACTGTGATATGTACCTACCAACTTGCCGGTTTTAGAGAGAAGTTATCAAAATTGCGTCGTTCGAAGCGTGTTTAGAATTTTCAGAGCAAAGTTGTCATTGTTTGAAGAAAATCTGATTAGGTACATATCACTTACCGTCATACAGCCGAGGCTAGATGTAGAGTAACGGAATCTGCCGAGGTTTGCCGAGTGCTGTACCGGTATTAGAAATCTCGCGAGACGTGTGAAATTATGAAATGAATACGTGACTAAATTCACGCTTCTAATGTTGAAGAAAAGATTCTATTTTGATGGTATATTCTCGGATTTACGATCATATTTTGAATGGGGTTTATGTTTTTAAATAAAGAAATAAGTAATCTAGGCAATGTTGACGAATATGTCGATTGAAATAGTGTAAGTACTTAATTGTTTTAGAAGTTAGCGCGTGCTAGAGTAGAATGCGATTATTTAGCGGATGGTGTCATTCCTCGGGATATCATATTCTTACCCTCTGTACATAAGTTGTAACGGAGTATAAGACGAATGCCGGACTTCTGCTGAAAAATGTAGCGACTTATGACCCGAAAATACGGTAATTTTGGAAGAATTTGAAACAGTACAGATCGGCAGAGGTCGGCACGCTTTCATTCTATCGTATTACGAATTTTGTTGGAATATTACTGACATAAATTTAAATACCGTACGGGAATTAAATATGAAAAATAACGAGGTGCACCTATTTTTATATTACGGACGAATTTGAATATTTTGTTTACACATGATTTTTGTGTGTGGTCTAAAAACTGCCATCTTAAATAACGATATGAGTTATGTCCCTTTATTTTCGGTAAAAATGTCCGACTAGAAAAATTTTGAAATCCCATCACTGGTTTACATGTATCTCCAAAAGATCTTGGTTCCTTTCGAGATTGACATGTATCAGACCGTAACTTCCTGAATTATGGCCCCTTATTGAATGAAAAATCACGTTTTTAGCTTGTGGACACTCTAGAGATCACATTTTTATTCGATTTTGATGAAACTTGAAATGTATGTTTATAACCCAAAGATCTCGGTTCCTTTCGATATTCGAATTGAGGCACATGTAGAATGTTCAAACTTGGTGTAGGCGTTGATTAGGTGAATGCCTTAAAGATTATCGGTAATAAACATTTTCTGCTTACAGTATGCAGAGATAAGCAATCTGATTGGTTGATGCTTTGGGGCACGATAACTTTGGTTATAATTAAGTGAGAGTGATGAAACGACAAGTATAGATTCTTCATATCATAAGTTCGATTATGAGAATTTTCTGCTGAGGCTAAGGAGCGATAAGCAATTTGATTGGTCAAGACTTTGGAACATAACAACTCTGCTTTTAATGTTTAAACTGGATGTAGATGTTCTTCAGGTGAATGTCTAAGCAATTTCATTGGTTGATGCTTTTGGACAAGATAACTTTGATTCTATCTGATAGAGTTTGATTGCTTGATACTTTTGAAAAAAATAAATGTGCAATTAATTAATATGTTTCATCAATTTATTTTGGGATTTAGGCGGGGAACATCATTCTCACTATTGGCTTGTTTTAGCTCGTTCTCTGTCCATCTTTTGCAAAATGAGGGCGTATCTTGCATGGCAACCACTTGTTTATTACTTTGATGAAAAAAACACATACCGGTACATCAAACCTTCAGCTATGTTGGATATAACAGTTATTATAAGGTTTTATTATTAGTGCTGTATGCTGATGGGTTAAACCAGTCTGGTTGATTTAAAGTTGTCTTCTTGAAATATTATTGGTCTTGTTCTCCCACTCACAACTGCCTTAAAAGTGGTCATAGTGTACATGAATGATGTTGCTGTACATACAGATTCATCATGAGGCTATCATCCACAGGCTGCACCATAGGTTTCAGACAACCCAGACCTAGAAGACAGAAATGGATGACTGCTGCCTTGACATAGAAACGTTGTAAGAACAGTGATTACCAAAAACTGCAATTGGAAATGACATGAGCCACGAGACCATTAGTAACCTCCTCAAAGAGAGGAATCTCTGTCCTAGAGTCACACAGTCATAGTTATAGACGCTTGGGCAAGACAGTATTAGTAGAAACAGGATCAAGGGCTTGAAATAAAAGAAGAGCTATATCTCTTGCTTTCCTAATCTTGCCTGAAGGAAAATTTGGACTTTCTATTAAGGTGTAACCCATAAGGTGTCATTACATTAGCAGACAATGTTAAATTTCACTAAATTTGTCCCTAAAAATATTATGGACTGGAATTCCTCAAATTTGATTAATCCCAATTTCTAATGAATTTTTAAAAAAAAAACAACCCAAAACCCAACAATTGTTCTGATAACTCGAACTGTTAAAGTTATCATCTGAATACCGGTACATGTACATGGTCTATATGATAATATTGACAAGGATAATATTGCCTTTGTGGACATAACTGCCTATTTTATGTAATGTTATCTGCCCCTTTTACCAAAATCTTACAAACACTGAAATAAATATTTAAAAAAAAATTTGTTGCTGGTATTTAATATTTCATATAATTGAAAACGTGTTTTTGATATGGAATTAATTCCTCTTTTGACTTTTTTAATGGTATTGATTCCAGAGATCGCGGGGCAAGATCAAAAAGAAAATCAAGTAGTAGCAGCAGTAGTTCTAGTGATGTAATTGAGGTTGTTGCACCAATTCGCAGTAATGACCCTAAATATTACAATTCAAGAATATTCATTGGTCGTTTACCTGCAGGTTATACTAAAGAAGAACTGTCAGATTACTTTAAAAGATATGGACCTATTTTAGGTATGTACATGGGGGTTAATGTCCATGCATAAATGCAGACTAGATGCTTTAAGACACGATAACTTTGGTTCTAACTAATTGAGAGTAATAAAACTAGGTGTATAGTTTCATCACATAAATACCTTAAAGCTGAAATCTGATTACAAAGCTACAGAAATCATTAAATAAAAAAAACACCCTAAACAACCGCCATCTTTGTTTTCAATTTGTAGAACCAACATGATTATTGCTTAGGGGTAACAAAAACACAGGCAGGCCACGCCCACATCCAGTATATGTCCTGTCAAGCAAAGTGTGCAAACACCAAATAATTTTCTGCATCATAAAGCCTAGTGTTCAAATAGTATCAAAACCAGCAATAAAATGGTTCTTCTCTCCATCAAATAGGTATGTTTTCACATCAAAATAGTCAAGAAAGGTCACTATCCTGTTGTTATTTATGATGATCAATTCAAGGGACATAATTTTGGATGGTGATATTTTTTTTCTAGGACATTATTATATCCCTTGAATTTATGTCAACAACATGGATTTTTATATCCTTTGGAAGTGAAAACATACCTATTTGATTGAGGGAACAATACTTTTATTGCTGCTTTAGATATATTTTGGAACGATAATACTAGACTTTATGATGCAGACAATTATTTGGTGTTTCTACATTGTTGTGCAAAACATTTCACGAAATAAGAAAATATTGGTTGGTGTTTGTTGGTAGATTTGTTATTGTTTGGGTTAAGGCAGTTTTTCTGACAAAAGTACATGTGGTTGAATTATTTTGACCAATTAGTAAAATAACATGTACCTGATCAGACATAATAATTGTGTAGCAATAGTATTTTCAGTAAGCTGATGGTAGTGATAGTGAAAAAACTTCAATCACTCAGGAGGTCATTTGTAACCAGATGTGCATACTTTGCTTGACATGGCATATACTGGATGTGGGCGTGGCCTGCCTATATATTTGTTACCCCTAAGCGATCATCATGTTTGTTCTGTAGTTTTGTAATCAGAGTTCAGCTTTAACTAAGTTTGATAATGAGTATTTTCGGCTCTGGGTAAGCAAAGCGATATCATAAGCAATTTGATTGGTTGAAACTTTGAAACGCAATAACTCTCCTCCTAATTGAAGTAGAATGTTGAAACTTGGTGTAGGTGTCTATTACATGTAGGTGAAGCCTTGGCAGAGTTCGATCATGCACATTTTCCACTAAGGCTAAGCAGAGATAAACAGTTTGATTAGTTGAGACTTCGGAACACGATAACTTTGTTTCTAAATTGGTGAGAGCGATGAAACTCTGAGTATTGACTCATTATATCAATACCTTCACTAAGGTCAGTGATGAGAATTTTCTGCTTAGGCTAAGTAGCAATAAGCAATTTGATTGGTCAAGACAAGACTTTAGAACATAACAACTCTGCTTCTAATTGAGGTAGAATGTTTAAACTTGATGTAGTGAATGTATTGACTGAGTTCAATGATTAACATTTGATTGTAACCTATGGAGAGTGATGAAACTTAGTGTATAGTTTCACTACCAGGTACTTCAAAACCTTGACTGAGTTTGATAGTGAACATTTTTTGCTTAGACTAAGTAAAAATAATCAGTTTGATTGCTCAATACTTTTGAAAAAGATAAATATGCAATTAATTAATATGTGTCATCTGTTTATTTTGGGATTTCCTCAGGGGGCATATCGGCCTCACTGTTGGCTTGTTTATTTATGTCATGAAAATATTAGTCCAAATTCCATAAAATAATTCCACTCCCCTGTTATTCATATTGTAAGAGATATGTTCCTAATTCCTAAGTTCAACGCCTTCCTGCAGTCCAGGAAGAACCCTATCAATAATCAAATATTCAGAATTTCACGATGGCAAATTGCAGAGCTATTGCCCAAAGTTTAAATTAGAAAATTCTTTAAAATTTATGAAATCTGTGATCTTGATAAACAAAATTATTTAGATTGTTCTATAGGGCATAAGGAAGAATACTGCTGAATTTCAGAATTTTTGGATTGCTGGTGGTGGGTGTGCCTGACAAGCTCCTATCTATATATTTTTATATTCTAGATGTTATTTGTCACAGTAAAGGATATGGTTTTGTACAATTTTCTAATGAAGAAAATGCTAAAACAGCGGTTGAAAATGAACGCGGATCAATGATCAAAGGAAACAAAGTTGGTAAGCATTAGATCCAAGGCTTATTTGTTTGATGATCAAATATATTTATGTGGATAAAGACTACAAAGATTTTGACACTTTTTCACTGTGAATGCATTTTATTATTACAATGTCTGCCTAGTCAGAGCAGAACAGTAGGTTATTAAACCCCATTTCATTTCATTTATTACAATGTCTAGGTTAATCAAAAAATAAATTAGTGAAATTTGCAGGCTTAGTCAATGGTATAATCCTTTTTATACTGATAAACATATATATCGTTATTGTAATAATTGGAAGATTTAAAGCACTCACTAATAGAATCAAATGATTATAACTACTACAGGTATGATAAAAGTGCATGATAAGTATTCATGAATAAAATATAATCACTTTTTCAAAAAGTAAAGTCATTCATTTAACATTTCTAAGTGAAATAAGTTGTATAGCAGGGACCAAACAAAGCGTTGTTAAGGTGCAACTTCTACTCAAATTGTTTATGTATAGCAACAAATTCCAAAACATGAATTTTTTTTTTATATTGTAGTCAACAACATTCTCACTAAAAATCATATAAAATACTGTTAATCAATATGCCAGTTCCTCTTCAAATTTATAGCATAGACCCCCTTCCCCCCTTCCGCCAATCCACCATGCAATTTAGTGTCATTTATTAAAATGTTCTCTTTAAACACTTTTCTAAATTGGTAATCCAAATTGTGTAAGTTATTTGACATTGATGAAATCAGGTGTGACAGAACAGTTTGCTATGCCCAATTGGCATGAAATAGAGAAAATAATGTGGTTGAGTCACTAATTTCTAGAAGAAAAGGTACTAGTGTACTAAAACATGATGGGGCTAAAAGCATATAGAGCACTATAACTAGTTGAGTATAGTCCTTATGAAAACATTTTTTTCAGGTACAATGTCCAGTATGTATTTATTTATTTTAGAAAATAAAGATTTGATTTTTTTCTGTATCTTTGTTTGTTTTTTTATTTTTATTGCAATATGTTGCATGTGTACTTGAGACACCATTAAAGATGCATTGTGTAGATAAAGAGCTGACCATTCTTGCTATAATAGTTCAAAAATAGATAATGAAAAATGAATATATTGAAAATTTCATTAAAATTACTTTATCCTGGGAGATGTTGCACAGGTTGTTTATTAATGTAGCAATGGTACAGGAGAATCCTAATCCATTTAAATCTCTGCTATCCGATGTTCTAGAGAGTTGATTATGGGCTTGTCATGTTAATGAATGCCTAAATAATAGTTTTATGTAACATTTGTAGCCAAAATAAAGACATGCAATAGGCAGAGTTAGTTCTTACATAGTGCATCTTAAATCATTGACAGTTTTCTTAAATATCTGAATGTTTAACATTTTTCTATGGCGTTCATATATTTGCAAAGTTTTAAGTTCTCATGGTAGAGTAACTTATCTGTAAGAATATCATCTCAGACAATTTGGACAGATTTTGCTTTATTAAGCTGTGCTATAGATTTTTGAGCGAGGTGCAGAAATGGACACTGATCAACAATTGATCTATTTAAATCGCTTTGTAATTTACTGCGTGTCTTTTTTCGTAAATTTTTTTTGAAGTTTCATAATGTTGGCTGTTAAAATCTGGTGAATATTACATAATAAATACTATTATCACTTATGAACTGTTAATATTTTTGATATCTTATGAGCTTAGTCTGAAATAATACTAGATGGTATTATTAAGAACTATTTGTGTTATTGCAGTGCATTGACTTTCAAAAGGTTTATAGTTATACACTGGGGCTTTACCCACGCATAATTCATAGTATGACCCTTTGTAATCCATGTCATAGCTTTCAATACCCTATATTTTATAAAATGGATAAAATCTCGCATTGAGTGAGTGCCTTTAGTATTGTAGCGAAGCCCCGGTGTATTATTCTTAAAACACAATAAATACAGTTAAATTTATAGTTTGTATTTGTAAATACAATAGAATTGTTTATATATTTGGATAAAACTAAGAAATGTTGCATTATTTGAAAAAAAAAATATGACACACCACCTCCCTCCAAAAAAATAATAAAAATACGCGACAAGTGGACAGTAAGCACATTTTTTGTGCTGAGACTCCTTGGTGCATAAAGATGCAGAAAAGCGATATGTAGTAGGTACTTAATAAGTGAATATGTATAGGGGTTGGCATGTAAAAGGAAACATTACAATAGTATATGTTAATTTTTACAGATGTGAAAATGGCTAATGAAGGAAGAAGTGGTGCAGGTCGTGGTGCAGGACCAGGTAGGGGGTAAGTATCTGTTTCCTACTTATATGTAGGCAGGGCCCTCACAAGGGGGAGGGCTCTGAGAAGGGCATATGCCTGGGGGTGACAAATTATCTAAGTGCATACCAGAAATATTCAAAGGGGGACCCTTTGAATATTTATGGTCTAGCCTCCTTGGAGACTGAGATAGCAAATCATGGGCCTTCTCTTTCTCTAAACCAGTGTAAATCACTTCATATTTCAGCAAATAGATGGGGTAGAATTATGATTTTACCAAGATATATTATAGGATTTTTCGATCAAATGATATATTTATATATTATTAATTTTTCATTCAAATAGAAAAAAATATAAGAGAAATAGGGAGCTTTTTAAAATGACAATTTATAAAGTAATTTTGTTGATGTATGTGTTATAGTGGAGGAGGTCGAGGAGCTGATAATGGTAGACATCAGCCCTCGGTCGGGCGAGGTAGAGACCGATCACCATTAAGAGATCCTTATGATGACAGATTCCGTGATCCATATAGAGATCCTTTGCCACCAGCCAGGTAATTTATTATGCTTTATTATAAAAGATAGTGAAATTATTTGACACTTTAAGCTGTGTGTGAACCTGATCAAATTTTGTCATTGTAACCTTGTAATAAATCTACCGTAAAAGTCAGGATTTATTTAGATTTTTGTTCAAGAATACTAAGACTTTTCAACTTGTCATAAGCAGAAACTCAACAAATTCAATGTTTCACATCTATTATTTTTAATTAAATGGTGTTTGGCCTAGCTATCTCGAGGGGTGGGGAAGGGGATTTTAAGATTTCCTGAAATTGCCATACCTCAATCTCATACATCTTACAGTGGCTCTTAAAATATCAGTAGCATGTAGCGATGTGTTAATAGCATTTCAATGAATTCTAATGTATTACAGAGATGATCCATATTATGCAGATCCCTATAGACGTCCACCTCCAATAGATGACCGTTATGACCGATTTGATGATCCATACAGGTAGGTGGTACACATATAATTTTCCCTAATTAGGTATGCCCGTTAATTATAAATAGAACATGACTATTGTTTAGGTTGTCCACTGCCTTTCGAAAAAAGCCGGTTACTATTAAAATGGGTCTGTGAATGCCTTGACTGAGTTCGATCATGTACATTCTCCACTAAAGATAAGCAATTTGACTGGTTGAGACTTTGGAACATGATAACTTTGGTTCTAATTGGGTTAGAGCGATGAAACTTTTGAGTATAGAATCTATACTATAGATTCATTATATCAATACCTTGACTAAGGTCGGTGATGAGAATTTTCTGCTAAGGCTAAGGAATTTGATGGTCAAAACTTCGGAACATAACAACAATGCTTGTAATTGAGGTAGGATGTTTAAACTTGATGTAGATATTCATTACATGAATGTATTGCATGAGTTCAATGATTAACATTTCCTGCTAAAGCTAAGCAGAGCTGAGCAATTTCAGTGGTCAATGCTTTGGGACAAGATAACTTTGATTCTAACTGATGGAGAGTGATGAAACTTAGTGTATAGTTTCACTACCAGGTACTTGAAAACTTTGACTGAGTATGATTGTGAACATTTTATGCTTAGACTAAGTATAGATAATCATTTTGATTGCTCGATACTTTGAAAAAGATATATGTGCAATTGATTTGCGCGTCCATTTATTTTGGGATTTCGTCGGGGAACATCAGCCTTACACTGTTGGCTTTAAATAAAGAATAAATTAACTTTTTCTGATTTCCATGATGAATTGGCGATTCCACTGCTACTTTTTCCCCACAAATCTTATATCTCAGAATCTAACCATGGGATCTACCTGAAACCTTGACCTATCCAACAAGAATGGGTGGTGGCTGTGGATTAAAACCATTTTCAGAATGTTTACGAATCTGAAATCTTTGAATTTTTCAAACAAAAAACTAACAATGCATAACAATTTACCTATTTTACTTATTCTTTTTAACCTTCAATTTTCGAATTTCGAAAATTCGTCGCTGTGATTTCGTCCTGGAAGTTCAGACGAATTTGACAACTTCTTTAATATTAGCTCGATTTTCATGAAATTTAGAATGTAAGTAGATCGACTGATTCAACTGGAATGATGTCATTTTCTAACTTATCTCCCCTTGGAGAAATTAATGATCAAAGTTTTCAACCCAAAAAATCGAAAAATGTAGGTCAGATTGCCTTGAAAATTTCTTTCCGTACTACTAGGACACTACTGATGACTGATGTGTACACAAAATATAAAGTTTGTTGATCAAACCAGAAATGCCACCATATTGAAACAAGGATATTTTACTTACAGACATGGGGGTTACATTTTCTGAATCCTCGAAGGAATGCCTAAAAAAACGCTCAAAGCAGAATTTTGATTTAGGTCACCATTTTGAATTAAAATTTGAATCTGAAAAAAATTGAAAAATCTACATTAACAGGCTTGAAAAAAAAAAAAAAAATAGGCCGATGTTTATTTAATTTGTCTCCTATTTCTAAAATGAATACATTTCTGTATAGCCTGGATCAGGGTCGAATTTTTGGTATTTGACAATTTCAAAATTGTGCCTTTGGCGTTTTTCGTGCTAACAAAGTTGTTTGCAAGTGAAAAACTCACATGAACAGCTTGTAAATAATCACAATAGCGAATTCGTCTTATATTTCTAATTATAATAAGTTTTTTGTGCCAACAGAGTTGCTTACCGCACATATTTTTTCTTAATTTTCATAAACTTTGAAATCAAGTCAAATGTTGATGGCAAGCGATTAAGTAGGTCATTTGGTGGCTATTTTATAAAAATTGTTTGGTAACCAAAGGTTCTGGGCAACTTTTAAAATGTTAAAATGGGAAATTTCGCTGGGTTGAAATGTTTACCATTATAACTTAATTAATAAATCTTTTCTGTTTAAGATTCCTAACAAGATCAATAACATCTAATGGGAAGTGATGCATAGTTGTTTTTGGCCAATTTAATCAGTAACATCTATCAGGAAATTTTGCCCTGTTGAAATGTTTCTGGTTATAACAACTCAGCAAATTTTTGACCAATCTAAATAAATGAAAGCTTTCACATTTGCTTTGGAGATCTAGTTATTATTATTATACAGAAAACCTGTCCCCATTACTCTGTTGCAATATATATTATGCAATGGAAGCTGGTAGAACATGGGTAAATGATTTTATTGATGATTACAGAAGACGTGATCCCTTTGATGATCCATATGCTAGAGATCCCTATTACCAACCACCAATACCACCACCACGTAGTAGAGGTCCACCTCAACCAATGGAATGTGAAATAATTATGCTTAATCCAAAGTTAAGGTAAGTGCCCTTACTGAAAACATAGAGTTTGGTTAGAAAATGTTGGACTTATCAGGTGATTGCGTTCATGCATACAAAAGAAACCAGTGAAAGTATATAAAAAGAAACGAAATATAGATCTGTATTTTAATCAGATTGCCAGTAGCCTAGACGGCAGTCGTCTACTGAATGACTTAATGTAAAGGCGGTAGTTTGCCACTTGATGTATTAAGTTAAAATGTAATTATGCCAACAATAAAAAGGGCGATAATCCCGATAAGACGATGCTAAAAGGGTTAAAACTAACAATTTAGGAACAGATAACAAATCAGCGTTAATGTTTCTAGTGGGATACCCACAGTTCCGTGCACTACACACTAAGGCTGTGCAAAAATATCGATATAATCGATAATCGGTAGAAGTTATTTAGCGATACGATAATCGATATTGAAATTCAAATATCGATTATCGGTATATTTACCTTCTGACGGCAAGTTACGGTCACTTTCATATGACTGAACTTGCCGTAGTCTGGCATGCAGACGAATGAATGAATACACAACGTCAACACAACTATTTCCCCCCTCTGCTTACAAACTGGCACATTTTAAATATATATTATTGTAAAAAACTAAACTTTAAGATTAAATACATTATTTTAATATTTTCGTTGTTTTTGTTGTTATTACTAGTTGAAACTAAAATAGGTCACGCACTTTGTGAACAATGACTATCGCACGTGATATATAGTAAAATTAGAATTATCTCCCTTCTTTGTTCTTGGGGGATTACGTGGCTAAGTGGGTAAGACGCTAGCTCGCTAGCCTGGAGGTCGGGTGTTCAATCCCTGCATTGGTCGAGAAAGTTCATCCAGATTTTCCGGCGTGGTTCTCCCTTGTCAGTGATGCAGGACGGAGGGGCTGACAAGGAAAGCTGTCTAGTCGTTCGGATGGGACGAAAAACCGAGGTCCCGTGTACACATTGGCGTGCACGTAAAAGATCCCTTGGCAGTTGGAATTCGATATAAGAGTAGGCCGTAGTGCCGCTGTCCGGGCAAAATTTCCCTCATAGCACACTGTATGGCGTATGCCCGTCTTCATTAGCCCAGGTTAGGAGCAGAACAGTAGGACGTTAAACCCCATTTCATTTCATTTCATTTCTTTGTTCTTGGTTGATTTGTAGAGAAATCGTCTGCTTTCACGATAAAACTGATTGTATTATTAATGATCAACTCCGCTTTTATTACTAAATCATGTCAGATACAGCCCATACAAAACACGTTTTTGACTTCTAGGGAAAATATCTATATCTCTCGTAATTTCGTGGAAGAATTCTACTTTGGTTTTCATCTAAATTAACCAATCATAAAAATTCTACTTTGAACGCCCGTAATTATTTTTTTATTGTCCAATCAATAGACGCCTTCTATTTTATTTTAACACTGTGTGATCGCCAGTCACTTGCAAAGAGAAACCATGTATTGTCTTTGTATTTATCGGAGATAAAAAAAAGGTTCAAATGAATCAAGAACAGAACTTAGAATAATACTCAAGTTAGTCCTGCATTTAGCAACTAATTATTTTACATTAATTGATTTTTTTACGTACATCGGCACTGTATTAGACTAGGATAATAACACTACTGTAACTCGATCAACACAAATAACAGGTCGGGAAAGTTCGGATTTTTCCGGAAAAATGATAATCGATTATTATCGATAATCGCTGACAAATTCTTGCCGATAATCGATATTGAAATTTCATATCGATTCCCAGCCTTACTACACACCAAAAACTTGCCACAACAGACTGCTTCATTGGCTAATCCCTTTCATCAACCAGAACAGGGGGTAATATAACAATTCTTCCAGATCCTAGTGTAGTAAAAACGAAATCGGATCAGTGTTTTTAACCAGATTGCTTTTAATCAGTGTTAGTTTTTGCTCAAGTTATATTAGCTAGGAGAACGTAGCTAAAAACGTTGAGATATACTGATGTGCTTGTGTTTAGCTACGATTATGTGCTTTTAATTCCAAGTGGCAAACTCAATTTCTTTATTAATGCGTGTAACATCTTAAAAATAAGATAATTTTATACCATTATGACTAATTAAACTTACAGAGGCCAATGTAGTGGCACAACTATCACCTAACTCCAAATATTTTTAAATTAATGAAGCATTGTTTTTATCCAACATACACCGCCATACATCTCCCATTTAAAAATAGCGTTCCTAGTAACGGCTTAATGCAATGATTTATACCCGTTTTAGGTAGGATTATATGCTTAATTGTAGTTGGATGTGGCAGAAATATTATAAATAACAATAATCAATCGTTGTTTTGATCAAAAATATTGTCAATTTTGCTTACTGAGACCCGATGTGATTTGTGTTGGGTTGTGATACGTGGAACTCTATAGTACCATCTCTTATTTCGAAACACAGAGGGTTGAGAGATGAGGTTTGTTATCTAAGGTTATATAAATAAGGATGTATGCCCTAACTTCGTAATTAATACACTTGAATTCTTTCACACACTTATGTTTTGATCCCTAATTTTTGACTATATATATTTCATGTATATGGTTATTTGTATAGGTATATTCCTTCAATGTGCCTGAATTTAGGCTCAGGACTGATGTTGTTTATGATGTCTGTATATTGTGTCTTGTCCGTAGATTTGTCTTGTCTAATTGTTGGTGCGTGGTGCAGTCCCCCTTCACTTACTATTTACAGTGCAGGCAAGATCAGATCCCAGTGATACGTTGGGGGATGAAAGTAAAATATAAATTATAGATAAAATTCCCCAAACAACGAACCATTTGATAAAGGACTTTCTTAAAACGCGTCCTGGAATAAAACTCTCTTCTTCTAATGCTGTCTGGCTTTTATTTGAATCTATTAATTTTTTTTTGGATAGAAATTATGCGGATGAAATCATGGGTAAATTAAAAGCGTTGAAAGTTGTTACTGGAATACTTTCTTTCCCTGAAGATCAAAATGTTCAGAAGCAGTTAGAAGAAATGGCTAAACAAGGTGTCCTGTATGCAGTTGTCATCAATTTACAGAATGAACTACATAGTTCTGTTATCTTGAACATACTTCATGGTACTCCTCAAGGTAAGTACAAAAATTCTTTTCAAGCAAACAAGCATCCACTGAACTATGAGTACCAGTTTTTAGCAGATCAAAAATAAATGCTTGGTGATAGTATTTGTGGCTATAAAAATTCTTTGTATATCTGTAATAAAGAAAAGAAATCTTTGGTGTCCCAGTGTCTTTAATTTACTCTTTTTCCCCAAATGATACACTATTAAGTGTATAATTATGTTCTGCACTTTATGCTAAATGCAAAATCCATGGAGATAAAATATTGAAACTGTAAATAAAAGTGAGGATATTGGTTGCGTCGATTACCTATTCATACCAAAGTACTAATGTCTCTGAATTATTAACTATTGATGCAAAATCCAAACTGAGATAAAATATAAAAACTGTAAATAAAAGTGACGATACTGGTTGTGTCAATTACATATCCATACCAAAGTACTAAAGTTTCTTGATTATTAACTATTGTTTGTCAATAACCTGCTTGTATGGAGTTAATTTCATTGAAATTACTTATTTATTAGACATTTTATGTTTGCGTTTCGGCATTGTGTATAATATCGGAAATGAATTATTAACAGTTTAATAAAGTTGTGTGCTGAATCGTACAATTAGATATTGAAGAATTTTGTTAATTTTTAATAAAGTCGTGACTTTGCGTGCGGGATTGTACTAATTGAAATACTGAATTCTATGCGTGTAATTTTCATATAACATCTATTATTTCTGAAGACTAATTATTCAAATACTCCAATTCATACAATGTACATGTAAATAATACTTTGCGAAATGTGCGAATGCATTTATTGCAGCAAATTTCGGGAATGCATTTATAAAATAATAATAATAGTAATCATTTATTACACTATATGTGCGCCAAAATCCAGCTGAAACAGCCATTCTGTGCATTTACAAATTTAAAATATAAATTGCATGTCCAAATCTCATGGAAATTCTCATAAAAGAATTAAATTCATGAGAAATAAACATCACAATGAACTATGTAAAAACAATCTTGGGTTGGTGTGTCGGGACTCCGGATTATCATAAATAAAAAATGTAGTTACCCAAGAATAAGGAACCAAAAAAGATATATATATATATGTATATATATATATATATATATATATCCAAAAGTATTAGCATAACTGTAAAGCTGCACTAGGTATACGCCGGTATAGTTTATGGTTTGAGTTACTTTAACCCTGTCAACTTCAACAGTGACCTATGTTCAGCTTCAGCAGTCTGATCAACTGAAATAAACATTTTTCTGTTCCATAGCTTCCAGTTGTTGTTATACATCTGTAAAACTTTGGACAGTGTGTTCTCTGTAAACCTGAATGCCAATAATAAAAATTATTCACGTGGACATTCTAATACTCAAATTACCAAAACTCCAATGCGTTCCAAATGATCGAAATATTATTGAACGTATTTCTACTTTTTCCTCATATGTTTAAGAATAATACGGGTCGTATTAATAGATAAACGCCGATCGGAGCTGAAAATAAACTAATTTTTGCTTTAGCCGATATAGGAACATATAACAAAATCGCAATATATTTTGAGTTAAGCTTACAAATAAAAATTAATTTAAGAAATTAAGAAGTGGTTGGCAAAGTTGCTATTGGATACACATGCAAATGGAAACCTTAAGTTTGTAGCATTTTTTACCTATGGATTTTTTTTCTCTTCATTTAAATGGGTAAGTTACATGAAGCCAGACAACATTTTTCTTTAATATTTACTGAAAAAGTTGAATAAAAATAATATTCTTTAAATTATGGAAATATGTATGCTTTCATTATAGAAAGAAATATTCACAGACTAAGGGCTATTCTTGTGATGCCTATCTGCATAGATTAAATACACATATTTTGATGGTACCTCATTGTGATTTGAATTATTTTCTTTCTAACAGAGCACCGAAATATGCCATTAGAAGATGCAATCAGCCTTGTTTCCAAGAATTTTGAGACCTATCTTCAAGAGAAGGCATTGAAGCCAGCCCCAAGAGCAGCATCTTCTGCAGCTCCAGCTCCTATTGCTCCTCTCACTTCTGTTCCCTTTTTGCCCCCATCAGCTGATGTTACATATTTGCTGAATCTATTGGCTGACAATAGACAGTTGACATTGACAGAGATTGATAAGATTATTCTGTACCTTAGAGAAAGACGTGATAAAATTTTAGAAGCTGAAGGAAAGAGACCTGGATTAGATGATCGTAAGTTGCTGTTTATAAAAGAAAGTTTTGTGCATTGAAATCATTTGTAAATGTATTAGTCTGTTAAAAAACATTCCTGTGAAAATAAATTGGTTTTAAATATATTTTAAGACATAGGCACAAAAAATTAAGTCTCTTAGTACATTATTATTAAGTACATCTGTGTACCGTATAATAAAAAAAAAATTATGAAAAAGATAACTGATTTATTTAACTTTGTTTGTCGAAGACACATAAAGATGGTGGTGTGAAATCCCAAAACCAATGTAAACTATAAATGGCCATAACTGTATTGTATTGTCTTAAAACTATATATATTTAACCTTTATTCAGGCATTTTGGGGTTTTCATTTATTCCGAACATCGCGTGAAAATGTGTGTGACACAATATTAGTAAACTGAGTATCAATTTTATTTCAGCTTTATATCGTAGTGAGTCTGTAGTTAAACCTGTTCAGTCACCAGTTCAACAAGAACAAGAAGAGCTAAAAAATAAGATTCTTAGTATTCTTAATGGCGGGAATACTGCTACATCTCCACCGCAACAACCAAATAGAAGTAATTTAGGATATGGTGATTATAGACGTGCTGAACATACACAGCCACAAGCACCAACTCGTTCTGCCAATCCGGCTCTTATAAATTTTGATAACCCAACCGTTCAGCAAGCCCTTGATAATCTGATCCAAACCGGGCCAAATTTATTGAAGAATATTAATCCAACTTCCAATATGTCACATTCAACTGGTGGTACTAGCAGTAGTGGACGACTGAGTACTGCTTCCCCATCTTCGCCTGGTTATGGGGGAAGACCAGCAGTCGGTCAACAGAGTGGTTATGGAGCTAGATCTAGTTCCTACCCACAGAGACCTGGAACAGAAACTAGTCCACCTGAAAGTGCTACTGGGTATGGCAGTGCGGCTAGCAGACAACATATGTATGGTGCATCTGCTGGTCAGGGAATCACTCAACCTCCTGGTATGAGACGATATTAATATGCTTAATAAATTTTCATTCATCTGTAAGGCCCCCTCCAAAATACCTATGTTTATGGTTACTTGGCCATAACATATAGGGTCGTAGGAAAATCTTTTTTCATTTTTTATACGCCCACATTGAAATGTGGTCGTATATTGCCGTCGATCCCGTCCATCCTTTCGGCGGTCCAGCCTTTAGAGGCTAAAGTTAATATCCGATTAACTTTAAATTTATATACAGTGTTTAAGGTCATGATATGAAGAATCCTATTGATTTTCCACAATTTCCAATAGTTACTCCCAGAGTTATGGCCCTTGATCACTTTGGAAAACCTTGTGGACGCTCTAGAGGCTAAAGTTAATATCTAATTGACTTTAAATTTATACACAGTGTTTAAGTTCATGAGACGAAGAAGCCTATTGGTTTTCCACAATTTCCGATAATTACTGCAGAGTTGTGAACCTTGATCACTTTGAATAATCTTGTGGATGCTTTAGAGAGCATAGTTATCATCTGATTGATTATATATTTATACACCATGTTATGCCAATAGATAATCGTTTTGATTGACTTTAGATTCATACACAGAGTTTTAAGGTCTTGAGACGAACAAGTATATTGATTTTCAATGATTTTTGATAACTTGAACATGATATTAAATGTTTTGTATACTATACGTTAGCATGGGCCTAACAAATTCTAATGATTTTTTGACAATTACTTAATGAGTTGTTACTCTTTATCAGATTTGAGTGTATTATAAATGTTTCATTACCAACTAAAGTAAAAGTATGTGACAACTCTTGTTGACTGCTGTGGGCGTATGTTTCGTTGCCTGGCAACCTATCTTTTTCTGGAGTTTGTGGGCTAAGAATAAGATCAGATAGAACTAAGTTAACTAATGAATTAATCTTTTAATAAACTACATTGATACTTGCAGTAAATAGCCTTTTGGATGTCATTTTAAATAAATTAAGGTGTTTATTTTTTATTTCCTAGCATTTTTAGCTTAGTTACTGTGTAAGGTTCTTTAAGATAATGCAGATTCTGACGGTTGTAAATACCAAAATTAGAGTTTCTGCAAAAAACACGCCAAGACCGATTTATAGGACCTCGGAAATTATAATAGATAGTTGGACTCTAAAAGTAATAGGGTCGGTCAGGTAACTGTAAACACAGGTAATTTCCATTTTTTGGCCTAATCACTTCACATTATGTGCTAAGTATCATGTTAAGTGTTTTTTATAGAAACAACTTGCATCTCTATGATCATTTTAACTATAGATACGTCAAAGCATTTGATGCAGTTTGTTTTTTAAATTTGTTACAGAGTAATGTTTATCATTCTTCTTTTTATCCATTGAAATAGATTATGAATTTCCCTCTGAAGTCATCTGTACATGAAAACCAATAATGTGTTGAATTAAATTTTAATTGCATAAGAACTGTTCATGTTGTGCTAATGATATATTAAAAAAATGAATAAATAAATGTTGTATGTTCATTACTAATTACTGGTTGAGATTTTAGATGAGCTAAACTTGCCCATTGTGGGGCGTTTCTGACTTTAAACATACATTATGCAGGTCTTTCTTTAGGCCTGAAATGTTATCTAAATTATTAATTAACTTATCCAGACCATAATCAACTCTCGATGTCAACGCTAGCCTGCGATGTTTACTGGATTAGGATACCATTTGCTGCTCCACTTTCATTCTTGATTTAATCATGAAATGGATAACCGAGACTATGTTTTTTATCGTACCGACGTTAGTAATGATGATCGAAAATTCAATCGCTAAAATCTTGGTTCAGAGTGGATCAATTTGACTGAAATTTTCAGCAAATTCCCTTTACATTATATAGTTTTTAACTTTTATAGTGAGAACTGTCAGCTCTTTATCTAATCTCCCATAATGTATCTTTAAAAAGATTATAAAAAATAATTATTTAGACATTTATTCACATGGCAAGTCCATAATCAACTCTTTAGACCTTTGGATGACTTAGATATTGAGTGGATTAGTCCATGCCTGCCATATCTGCATTAAAACGCTAATATGTCAGACAATTTATGGCTTTTTGTGTCAAAACTTAAAAATTCATAATTTTGGCTTTGAATAAAGTAATTTGACTTAAAATTTCAGTATATTCATTTTTCATTATCTACTTTTGAACTACTTTTGAACTGTTTTAACAAGTATGGACAGCTGTTTCTTTAAATATTGCATAATGTATTTTTAAAATTCAGCTGAGCTATTGGAATTATGGATTCATTATTACACAGTGCATAAAACTGATTTAAATACAAGTAAATTGCTTGGCCCTGCTGTCATACATTATCTGAAAATGAATTGAAAATATTTTCGCTAGTTATGAATTTCGTGACAGGGTGGTACTTCATACCAAAGATTTTGATGTGAAACAATTATGCCCAAAACATGGGGTTTTTTTTGGTAAAAATCTGAAAGTTAATAAATTAATTATGATCTAATAGAATTTATCAACATAATTGCAAGTCATGTAAACATAAGCCAAGATAAAATTATGGGATAAACAACTTCAAATAAATATATATACAGGTCACAATTCAGTGGAATACAATTACTGCTTATTAACATGCCACGTTTTGGCTAGGCTTCTATAGTCAGTTATCAAGCAATGAAAAAATATAACGAGGCAATATATACATGTAAAAATCAACATTTGGTTAATACGAAAAACAGAGGGTAAATATGTACATGTATGTAACAATCTTAGTTTCTTAATGTTATGCTGAGATGCCGGTATAGTACCAAATCTTAATTTACCTCACATGCTGCTTTGAAGATACTCATTAAAGCTAGTAAATGCTTTGTTCGCGAAATTATCCATCACCATAGAAATGAAAAGCACGGTTTATTTAATGTTTCTGGAGAACAGTGTACCCAACTTCAATTTACACTTTCTCAAAAAGATTACAATATAGTGAGAAAATACAGATCAGTTTGAATACCCTTTTGGGTGAAACTATCATAAAGAATCATAAAGAATCTGAGGAATAAATATATTAACCTCAGATCCACATTACCTCGGCACCCTGTTTCAAATAGTAACAGATAATCAAGACACGAATTCTTAACCAAAACAGTAGTAAACCTTATTAATCGAGATCTAACCGATGACCAAATCACATTTTAATGTCAAGGGGATTAAAGTTTGCACCAACCACAAAGTCCCACAACCATGACAGGTATATTGCCAAGATCGAGAAAGCTGTCTGTTGCAAGCTCCGACCAAACCACCTTCGACCAGCTTATGTCAGCGCTACCATAAAGTTAAAAAAAACAAAACAACGAAAGCCCGCCTCTCAGTGTGTTCCAGAGATTCATACTTCTACAACACGACCCGATACTTATCAAACCTACTTTCCCAACTTGGCACAACAGCTTCGCCCTTCCTTAACGATTTCGGTGAATTCTGTGAGAAACTGCAGAATATTCAAAACCCCGGGAAGATGGTCTCATATGATGATGTAGATCCGTTTACCAATGTACCCAGGTAGTCGGGTAAAGATAAGCCATATGGAGTGGATACGTAGAACAAATTGCAACAGAATTTTTCTCGACGGAATCTGGTAGAGGGGTCCCTGAAGGTCTCCTAAGCAAAAATCGCCCAAAACAAAAAAAATAGGTTTTCGAGTAATTAGCATACATCCATTGACACCTTAAAACTCCAATATCTCGGGAATGGTTGAGTTTGGAGGGTGTAAATGTATTACGGGTAAATAGGAAAGTGGTACAGATGGCTCAGAAAAACATAGCTAAATGATGTCCCCGTAACGTCATACCGTCATGCGGCCAACAATTAGCATAAATCCAATACGGTCGCCATTGTAACTCCGATATCTTGAGGAATGGTTGAGAGTTTGGAGGATGTAAATGTATTATGAGTAGATTGGGAAGTGCTACCAAAGAACTAGAAAAACAGTGCCAGGTGACCTCATAACACTAACAATTAGCATAAATCCAATATGACTACCATTGAAACCTTAAAACTCCTATATCTCGGCAATCGATGAGTTTGGAGGGTGTAAATGTATTACCAAAGAATCAGAAAAACATTGCCAAATTACGTCCCCGTAACTTCAAAGCCCAATAATTAGTATAAATCCAATATGTCCGCCATTTGGACTATAAACATCCAATTACTTGTATCATCTTGTCAAACGTTTTATATATTTCTTGAATATCTACTATATACATGTCATCATTTTCTCCTGGTGATAATGACAAATCGTACCAGCGCATTTACACATAGTCCATGACAAAATATCCACGTGTTGCCTTGGCATAAGCCTTTCCGTTCAAAATGTGCCAAACTGTGTTTTCTCGGTAGATTTTCTTTAAAATTTGCCTCACCCCAGAACTGTCTCTAAGGTCAGTAAATAAACCTAGAAAACTCATAACAATATGGAAACTTCCCAAATAAGAACACTATTCGTTTCAGCTTAAAGTCGGACAACTCCTTATTCATAATGTAATATACTATATGTATCTATGAGGGGTATTTAGTTCGCTAAATGTTCTGTTCAGTGTATTGAAGTCGTTACCTACAAACGATTGCAGTTAGATTTTTGGATAATTGGAACAATACAATGCTAAAGAGTTTTATCAATTTACAAAGTAAAGATTTCGAAGATCATACAGAGCGCGTCACAATGATAGTTCTAGCCTTCCATCATAATGGTTGGTCGAAAGTGTGTAACCGTGACGATTACATTCATCAGTATTGAATGTTAGGGTTGAGTAATCATAGCTAAAGTTGGCTGGATCCATGTCTATTATTGGAAACCCTCGTATAGGGGGTGTTTTTTCGGAGATGTTCTCCAGTCGCAACAGTCTGCATAGTACCTGACTGACAGTTTGTAATGGTTTTAACAGGAATATTTTACTTGGTTTCTGATAGACCTGGATTTCAATTATGCTAACAATTCTTTATTGACTATTTCGGGAACTGTAGTATCAAGCATGCAATTGGTTCAGGTTCATGCGAAATTAGTTAACAAATTTGGCGGGTCTAGTTCTGGAGCTTCTATATCATGTCCATGTGTCTCCAGAGAGTCGATCGGTTGTTCGTTAGGCTTACGTTGCTGCTTTAATTTTAGATAAGGGGTACAGAAGCCGTATGCATTCAAAGTGCCGATATGAAGTCATACAGCCGAGGCTAGATGTAGAGTTACGGAATCTGCCGAGGTTTGCCGACTGTGTTGGACCTATGACGTTATGACGTCACAGGGAGGTCATGGGTTGTGCTTTTTTTTATTCTTTCGTACAACTTTTAGATCTGCCCCTAATACATTTACACCCTATAAACTCAATCATTCCCGAGATATTGGAGTTTTAAGGTGCCAATGGCGGCCATATTGGATTTATGCTAATTAATGCTAATTACGGCTAATTGTCGGCCGTATGACTTATGACGTCACAAGGACGTCACCTGGCATTGTTTATTTAGTTCTTTGGCAGCACTTTCCAATGTACTCGTAATACATTCACATCCTCCAAAATCGACCATTCCCGAGATATCGGAGTTTTAAGTTTCAATGGCGGCCATATTGGATTTATGCTAATTATTGGCCGTATGACGGTATGACGTCTCAGGGACATCATTTAGCTATGTTTTTCTGAGTCATCTGTACCACTTTACTATCTACCCGTAATACATTAACACCCTCCAAACTCAACCATTCCCAAAATAATTGAGTTTTAAGGTGTCAGTGGCGACCATATTGGATTTATGCTAATTACTCGAAAACCTATCTTTTCATTTAAGGCGATTTTTGTTTGAGACCCCTCTACCAGATTCCGTGGAGAAAAATTCTCTTGCAATTTGTTCTAGGTCATTTATTATATTTACCGGACTAAGGGAAGAGGCTCTGAAGATTCTACGAAAGCGCATTGATAGCTTAGATAACCCACTTTAGAACACACACCCCTCCCCTAATAACTGACAACATCATACTCCTGTTAAAACAACGCATTTGTTCATGCCGAGGCCGGAAACTTGGGACACCCTGGTATATTTAGATGAATAATATTATGTGTGGACAACGTTTTAAGAACAAATTCTTGGAGTCTGGATATTGGCAACAATTTATAATTAATTACATGTATACCAAAAATATTAAGATGCAAAAATCTTAAAAAGTGACACTGAAAAAACAGGTTATTTCTTGGCATGATAAGACGTTAGAAACATATATTTGATATTTATATGATCGTATTTATTTCATACTATTTGTTCATTGAAATCAAATATCATAATTCTTTACGCATAATGAATATCACTTACAATCGTTAACATGCCCATAATCTTGTTGTTTATGTGTGATTTACATTGTCACTTTGTAAAGTGACCCTGAACATGTTATATGAAAGGGTGCACTATAAATATGCTGTAATAATAATAATAATAATCAAACAAATATTGTTTTGGAGGCTAAAAATACAGTTTTTGCCAAAATGACATTCCTTCCGGGGATAGTGGAAATCTTAAATTAATTTTATGAAACCATAAATGGCATTAGGCTTCACGTGTTAAAAAGTTTATGAAAATCGAATAATAATTGACACTTTTATGGACCAAAAACTGCTCATATTAAAAACTAATGTTGACATACATTGTCTTATGGATTACTGCTTCAAGTTTATGAAAGTTGCGAAGAAATATTTTAAGATATGAAAAGCCTGAATGCATTGTAAAAAGCTCATTTTTGCAACTTTTTTCACCTTTAAACCAAAATGGCGCAAATATAAAACCGAAATTTAAAAAAAATGAGCCCGACATGTTTTGCACCTTTGATTAATTAATATTTGCTTTTGAAAGGACTTTCCAAGCCGTCAAAATTGAAGATCTGGGCAAAATTGCGTCATTTTCTGTGTCAACAGAAAATTTTATCAGTAGATAAAAGTTGAGAATTTGGACCATGGAACATATAAACATACTTTTATACAAATCAGACAATAGATAATTAACCAAGAACCAATAAACTGCAAATAATAAATATAATTCATTACAACAAAATATTTATTATGGAGGCTAAAATACCGTTTTTTGGCAAAATGACATTACTTTCGGTGATAATGAAAATGTTAAATTA